CTACCCACGGCAGAGACCCTGCAAAACACTCATGAGACATATGCATTGGGTTCATGAAACCCTTCCTGTTTCTCCCTCCACTGGGGCAGAGAGAGGGCTGATTTCCAAGCCTTGGGGGATCGACGAGGCAGAGAACCTTCTCCCCATTTCCACACCTAGATTTCAAGTCATCCACTTCCCTGCATACTGAAGAGGCCAGCAAGGCCGCCCTCTCAGACCCCTTCCCTGTCCCCCGCTGGTCTGGGCCTGGGCTCTTGTGACTGTAGGACCTCAGTGGCCGGGATCCTGGCACCAGCTCCGCCTGTTTGGTCTTTGGCTCTCCTGGCACTGCCAGAGAATGGAAAAGCTGATCTGTTTACAGGACGTGGGGCCAGAAGCGCATTAAAAAATAAGGAGCAAATAAAATATCATAAACAAATTTCCTTTCCGGTAAGGAACGTTCCTTTCCCTGTCCTCCAACGTGAACCATTTTTCCTCAAGTGTTTGGATAAACTTCCATCCTGTGTAATTACCATTCCCAGGGAGGGGCTGCCTGTTTCCGCTGGCTATTTATTTTGATTCTGTTCGTTCCTCTCTCTTCTGAGTATCACACACCTAATAGTAAAGGAAACATGTTTTATACTGGGGCATGGGGCACAGCTCTTTCCTTCCCTCCCGCGTCTCTTCCCCACTACCTCTCACTTCCAACTTCTCATGAACCTGTGGACACGATGCCCCAGGTGCCCTGGGCTGTGGGCTGCTCCCGTCCAGCATGCAGGTGAGCTTGGAGAATTGGTTGACTGAGGACCAAGGGGCAAATGGGTGAAGCAGAAGGGAGAAATGCTTTCCAATAAAAGGTGGCGTAGATCCTGACCGGTTGTATTCGGGGGACCACCTTTCTGCAGCGGGGGGTGGTCTTCAGCATGACCCCCTTCGTGAGGTTTCGTGTGAGCAGAAAGCCACTGAGCTAATGTTTCCTGACCCCAGCAGGTAGCTTATTGTAAAACAGTTCATCCAGAGGGGAAAAAATACCTTATTTCAGCATTTTAATTTTTCTTTTTGCTTTGGACCAGATGGAGATGAAGAGAATGGAGGGGAACTGATATTTCCTAGCTCAGAAGTGCATGACAGGAGGCAAAAAATGAAACCAAAAATACACTTTTCAACAAGTGTCATTCTTGTTTATGAATCCGTTGTCTAATCCAGGATTCCTAATTACACACTTTCAGCTATCCCCCTAGTCCATTCCTTCTTCTCTTCCCTCTGTTTTCTTTCTATGTTGGGATGGTGGAGGAGGGAGGTACACCCCACAGTTAATTTCACTTTTTAAACGCCTTGCCTCTGCATGGTTGGGCCAATGGCTGTTCCTGGAGGTGCTGACCTCAGAGAGGCCATGAAGTGCGGGGTGGTGCTGACTTACTGACTGGTCAGAGAATCAGCAGGGCTTCAGATTCCTTGTGCTTTAACTCAGTGGAAGCCCCAGGAAGTGGGGATGGAGGGGGGGACCCATGACTTCCCCTTGAGTCCCCCCACCTCTGCTTGCCCACCTTTTCCCTTCTAGATTGCCACGCCTCCACCCTTCTTCCAAAGATGGTCCAGGGCTGTCACAGGGTCACCTGGCCTAGGCTTGGTACCTAGGTTATGAGTTGGCATCAAGGTGGTAAGAGAAACCAGTCACTCTCCCCTTTGGGAGCCCTGTCTTTTGAGGACTGAAGGATAGGATGCTTATTCCAGAGGCTGTGAGAACTTCATTAAGAAACCCAGCTGGCATCGGAATGATTCTTGATGTGCGTGTTAATGGGTGAAATGCACAGAACCATGTGTGTGCCATGGCTGATTCAAAAAGCTGCCGCTGGCTCTGCACCTGGTGGGTTTGAGCTTTGGGTAGACTTTTCCAGAATCAAGGAGGAATATCTAGGGATTGACCCCCAGACTGGTGCTTAGCCCCTCTTGAGAGAAACAGGAGACTCTAACTTAAAAATTATAACTCAACACTCTAATGCCATGAGAGACAGCTGGGAGTCCTAGTTCTCAGACTTCAGTCTTAGCAATGCTGAGGTCCAGGTAGGTTAACTGAGCGCCAATCTCACTCAACCGTTATTAGGGAACTCTGACTGCAGCAGGGCTTTGAGTCCTCACCTGGAATAGGATCCCCTAGATGCCTCCAAGGGCAGATGCAAGGAGAGGAGGCCAGAGAAGGCATCTGGGATGCCTGGGAGGGAGGAAGGCTGCAGCCCAGGCAAAACGCTGCAGAAGCAAAATCCAATTTTGGTAGCTTTGTGCACTCAGTCAAGGTTGGGTGCTCCTGGGTCAAAAATGCTTTTAGTAAGAGGCACTGGGGGTGGACGAGCCTCCATGTGGGACGCTTGGGCTCTCCAGGGAGGGGAAGACTTCATCCGGGCTGCGGCCCCATGCTCAGTTACGCTCTATTTAGAACACTTTTTTTTTTTTTGTGGAAAGCAGATTGTTGGGGAGGAACTCACCAGGCCAGCTGGGGGAAGCTTTCTGAATTGTGGGTTGGGGAGACAGAAAGGGAAAGGAAAGGGCTTTGAGCAGGACAGATCCAGGTGGGCTGGTCTCATGGTCTCACCTTTCCCTGACTCTTTCTGCACATAACCACCCCCCAATCCCCACCAGTTGTGCTCAGCAGCCTATCTCTGGACAGAACTTAAACGGGGCAAAGTAGCAGCATCTGAAACATTTTGTCCAAGGTGAGATAGGCCACTGAGATTTTAAATTCTGCAAGTCCACCTAATAAAAAGCTCCAGTGCAGTGAACACTGGCTACTATAGTGTGCATTGCTGAGTGAGACTCAGGACACAGCAGGTCAGGCTTTGTGGGCGCACAGTGGCATACAATGTGATTCTCCTAATTCCCGGACAGCACAATGGCATTTGTCAGTGGCGACAGCATATTGGGTAATCTTCACCCTCCTCTACCAAAGGGATAGCTTTGCTAAACACAGATTAGGTCACTGCAAACTCTGTAAGCCAAGATAGTTGTGGGTGGTCAGAGGATTTCTGGAAACAGTGTCTTAAAATTCTTCATTGCTTTAGCCTTTGTCTTGCCAGAGAAATTGATGTTTGAGGAGTGGCTTCCACTGGCCCTAGGTCAGGCTTACTCTGGAGCCAGTGGGACAGGTGGTTCTGTCTCCTGGACCACAGTTGGCATCCTGCATGTCTCTTCTTAAAATGGACCACAGTCAGTGACCACCCCCCGCACCGGCCAAGGCAACTTTGAGACCAATGGAAGCAGCCGGAGAGCTGTGCACTTGCACATTAACAAGCCCTATTTTTATGGCCTTCCTAACAGATAAGATCCTGTTCATGTTGACCCAGGGGCCAGTGGATGACTTGCTGCTGGGGTCCTTTTTGTGCACAGCTGTTAGTGACCTGTACATGCTCAAATGCATGAGATGCCACATTGCTTTCCTGCTGGCTGGCTGTCTAGCCCTTCTGAGCCCCTACAGAGGGTCCAGGGATGCCTTTCCAGCTCAGGATTAGACCCTTCCTAGATGCCTTTCTAATACTCAGAGGAAGGAGATGGGATAGCATCTCAATTCCAGCCCCACCTCATGTTGGCTGTGATTTAAGATGGTTACTTCATCTCTCTGCATCTCAGCACCCTCCTGTATAATTTGAAAACTGTAGTAGTACCGACCTCACTGGTTTTCTTTTCTTTTCTGTATGAGATGGAGGTATGCATTAATATATGTAGCTCTCAGAGCACATATATATGTCCTGATTCACACATCCAGCTCATGTGTTAGCTATTGCTAGTGTTACTATCTCCCTGATAAACTCTCTCCTAACCTTCTCCGGGTAGAAGTCATCTCCCCTACTCCTGGGGAAGCACTTCCTACCTATCTTTTATAGAATGGGTCTTGATATGGTTTGGTTGTGTCCCCACCCAAATCTCATCTTGAATTGTAGTTCCTATGGGAGGGACCCGGTGGGAAGTGATTGGTTCATGGGGGTGGTTTCCCCCAGGCTGTTCTCCTGCCAGTGAGTGATTAATCACGAGATCTGATGGTTTTATAAGCCTCTGGCATTTCCTGTGCTGGCTCTCATTCTCTCTCCTGCCACCCTGTGAAAAGGTGACCTCTGCTGTGATTGTAAGTTTCTTGAGGCCTCCCCAGCCATGTGGAACTGAGAGTCAATGAAACCTCTTTTCTTCATAAATTACCCAGTCTCGGATCTTTCTTCACAGCAGCGTGAGAACATGCTAATATAGGTCCATGGAATCCCAAATAGTGATGCAATTAAGAGTTAGATTGTAGGGTTAGACAGGTCTGAGATTGATTCTGACTCCATTGCTCTTGCCCTTGTGATCCAGGTCTGTTTCTTGTAAAGTGAAGACAATGAGAGCAACACCCACTGCCCCAGATTGTGAGGCCCAGGGCTGTGTCTTACTTCTCCCTGCTACCTGTGCCTACATTAGAGTGTGAAAGAATATTTGTTGAACTATTGAGTTGACTCAGTCAAGTGTTCCTCCCTCCTTCGGTAGACAAATCCTCCATTGAATAAAACCCCATCATGTTACAGCTCACTCCATGGAGGTTCCTTGCTAGCCCATCTGGATTACGGTGGGTCTTAACGGCTTGCTTGGCTGGCAGCAATTGCTTTAATGTCCAATGGGCTTAGTGAATGTCTACTGGTTTTGGCCTCTATCTTCCTGGTAAGAAGGCTCAGGGCCAGGCATGGTGGCTCAGGCCTATAATCGCAGTACTTTGGGAGGCTGAGGCAGATGGATCATTTGAGCTCAGGAGTTCAAGACCAGCCCGGGCAACATAGCAAAACCCGACTCTACTAAATGAAAAAATACAAAAATTAGCTGGCCTTGGTCGCATATGCCTGTAGTCCAGGCTACTCAGGAGGTTGAGGTGGAATGATCGTTTGAGCCCAGGAGGTTGGGTTTGCAGTGAGTTGAGATGGCACCATTGAACTCCAGCCTGGGCAACAGAGTGAGACTCTTCCTCCCACCCCCCCCCCCAAAAAAAGAGAAGAAGGCTCTCATATTTATTTCTGATTCTTATTGGAGTGGTTTAAGGAGGACCATTGAGAAGACCCCCTCCCATAAAAACCAAAATACCAGCTTTTCTGTGCAATCCTGTGCATATGGTCTTGCTCTTGGTTCAATCCCAAGCAGAAAACACACTGGACTTGTTATTGGAAACCTGAGCTGAGGATTGGCTTTGTCCATGTGGTAGACAGAATAATGGTCCCCAAAGATACCCACGTTCTGCCTGCTCCCTGGAATCCATGAACATGTGATCAAGTTAAGGTTCTTGAGATAGGGAGATAATTCTGAGTTAAGCCCTTCAACAGTCCTTTTAAGAGAGAGGCAGAAGAGTCAGAGATTTAAAGCTGCTATAGTCTTGGCTTTGAAGCTGGTGGAAGGGGCCATGAGGCCAGGAATGCAGGCAGCCTTTAGAATATGCTGGAGGAGGCAGGGACGTGGATCGTCCTCTAGAGCCTGTGTAGGAGTGCAGCCCTGCTGATGGCTTGATTTCGACTCAGTGAGAGCCATTTTGAAATTCTAATCTCCAGAATTGTAAGATAATAGGTTTGTCCTGATTTAAGCTGTTAAGTTTATGGCCATTTGTTAATATCAGTAAGAGGAAGCCCATCCTGACCCTAACAGCTGGACACTGTAGAGGTTCTCTTTGCCTCTCTGGTCTTTAGTGCACTCTAGCTGAGTCCTCATACAATCAGGGCTGTGGTTTACATAATGCCCACAGGTGCCAGGCCAGATGGGGTGAATGGGGACTGAAATCCATCCCCAGGGGTCACAATATTAGACTCGTGGACTCACATGAGGCAGTGTTTCCTGCTCTGTTTCCACTATCCCTGCAGGAAGGCACCTCTACTCACCCTTCCTGCACCCTCAGAGTTGGGTCTGTCCCACACACCCATACATGATGGAGATGGGCATGGGGGCTCTGGCATCCTTCCACTGCTTCCTCCCTGACTGCCAAGAGTGCAGAGTGGCCAGAGACCCTGGAGAGGGGAAACTGGCTACAGTGAGAAGTGCTGCAGAAAGACAACTTTTAGGCCTGCAGTGCAGATGCTGAATTAGCCTCAAATTTTGCTTAGGCCAAGCCCTAAGTCATGTTAAGCCATCTCTCACTGAGAGGAGCTCTGCCCCCTATTATAAACCAGTGGTTCTCAACCAGGAGTGATTGTGTCCCCCTACTCCCATCCAGGGGTTGTTTGCATGTCTGGGGACATTTTTGTTTGTCACAGCTAGGGGCAAGGGTCCTACTGGCATCTAGTAGGTAAAGGGCAGAGATGCTATTAAAACTCCTACACTGGCTGGGTGCGGTGGCTCATGCCTGTAATCCCAGCACTTTGGGAGGCTGTGGCAGGTGAATCACTTGAGTCCGGGAGTTCAAAACCAGCCTGGGCAACATGGCAAGACCCCATCTCTATGAAAAAATACAAAAAATTAGCTGGGTGTGGTGGCTCGTACCTGTAGTCCCAGCTACTTGGGAGGTTGAGCTGGGAGGATGGCTTGAGCTTGGGAGGTTGAAGCTGTGGCGAACTCTGATCACGCCACTGTACTACTCCAGGCTGGATGACAGAGTGAGACTGTGTCTCAAAAAAAGAAAAAAAAAAGAAAGAAAAATCTCACAATGCACAAGGCAGGCCCCCACAACAAAGTTGGGATCCAGCCCCAAAAGTCGGTAGTGCCAAGGTTGAGAAATTGTGTCTTAAACCCACCTTCTCCCCAGGACTTTATTTACCGAAAAGGGGGGATCTGTTATTTTTTCCAATTGCATTTCTTCCTGTATCTTATCAAGAACCACCAAGTTCAGCACACCCTTGATTAGTCACTTCCATTAACTGTGTTTATTTTGGGGTGTTTATTTTTGAAACGTGGTCTCCTTTTGCCTCCTCACTTCCTTACACACTAGGGGAGTGGGGCCAGCTTTCTGGTACAATCTAGTTCACACTTTGCTTGCTCATCTGTGAACCAACTAGGCCAATCCCTGAGGACACCTCTCCTTCTCTCATAGGAAACTATCTGCAGTTCTTAAGCAGGCAATTGTCATCTTCCTTATGCTTTAAAATCCTCTTTAGGATTTTAGAATATTCTAAACAATATAGTAGCAACTCCATTGAGCAAGTGACTCGCGACAAAGCATCAACTTTATTCCCAGCTGTCCACGTTCCATGAAACCGAGGCATTTCAGCAGTTCTCGCCACTGAGTCAGAGACATGGAGATTGTTGGACTGGTGGGTTCCTCTCCCACTTCGCACCACCCCTCCCCTTCTCACTGCAGGCAAGTCTCGGAACTACATTTAAGTGTTTCTGACTCATCAAATAATGGATCCCTGTTTCTCTCCACCCACCCAAATGGTTCTTAGCTCTCCCTCCCTGGCCAGAAGAATTTAAAGGCTTATGGTTGAGTAACTGGGAATTACAGGGAATCTCTGCACATGTTTCAGAGATTTTCATTTTTTTTTTTTTTTTTTGAGACAGAGTCTCACTCTGTCACCCAGGCTGGAGTGCAGTGGTGCAATCTCGGCTCACTGCAATCTCTGCCTCCCAGGCTGAAGGGATTCTCCTGCCTCAACCTCTAGAGTAGCTGGGATTATAGGTGCCTACCACCATGCCTGGCTAATTTTTGTATTTTTGGTAGAGACAGGGTTTCACCACGTTAGCCAGTCTGGTCTCAAACTCCTGATCTCAAGTGATCCACCAGCCTCGGTCTCCCAAAGTGCTGGGATTACAGGTGAGAGCCTCTGTGCCCAGTCAGATCTTCATCTTTGATTGGACACCACCCATCTCTCTGCCTCCTCTTTCCTGAATTCCAGTGATGGCAACCTCTCCCTTCACCTATGCCCTCCCTCTACATGGCCCTGTGCGTAGCAGTGGCCCGAGGATGCTCTATGGCAGGCCAGTGACATAGGAGGCCTGGGTCCCCCCTCCCCCATCCTCTTTCCTGGGACATTTATTTGAATACCATGAGGGAGTGGGTCACTTTGGGGTATTTATTTGTTTAAACATGGGTGGCTTCTGAAAGGAGGGTGTCTGGTTTCAGGGTTCGAGGACCCAAGCAAACAGAGAGTGGGTGGTCTGCAAAACAGTGAGCAAGGTTGGGAGTGAGAAGCCTTTCATGTTTGTAGGTGGAAATGCTGACATATGACACTATTTGTGACCCAGCTATGTCTATCTGTGACGTAGAGCAACTAGGGGCTTGTGTGTGTTCAGACTCTGAAACAGCCCTCCCCTAGACTGTTGGAAGAGAGCATTTGGAAGTGGTCAGGCAATTCTTTAGGGGCAGCAACTCCCATTAATTTATCCCGTGAGCCTTGTCGGCTCTCCAGGTACCTTGGGGACTAGCAGAAGAATACAGGCTGAATTGGTACTAACTGCAGCCCTACCTCAGGGATTCTGGAAGATTCCTAAAAAGCTGGGTGCAGGCTGGGCATGGTGACTCACGCCTGTAATCCCAGCACTTTGGGAAGCCAAGGAGAGAGGATCGCTTGACTCCAGGAGTTTGTGACCAGCCTGGGCAACATAGGGGTCTTTCTTAGAGACCCCATCTTTAAGAAAACAAATTAGTTGGGCATGGTGGTGTGCACCTGTAGGCTTAGCTACTCAGGAGGCTGAGGCTTCAGTGAGTTATGATTGTATCACTGCAGTCTAGCCTGGGAGACAGAGCAAGAACGTATCTCAAAAAAAAAAAAAAAACAAAAACAAAACAAAACCTGGGTGCAGTAGTGGAAGGGTAAGCCTCTTTCCCAAGAGATCTTGACTTGTTGATCAGAATGAGTGATCCTGCTTTGTGTCACAGGGCCAGCCCCCTTTTGGGGCTGACCTAGCCAGAAAAATATCTCTCATTAGTTTTCAGTTCACATCAGCCCTGACAGGGCTTTGAGTTTTGTATTTGGCAGGTGCTTGTCAAAGAAAACCCAAGATGGAGGGAAAACCAGTTGTGTAGGTGAAATTGCTTCACTCTGACCAATGATATACCAACATCCAGAAGCAAAGACATATAGCATCTTATCTCTCAGGCCCCTCTAAGACTGTTGACTGCAGAATTGATGACAGCAGTGGGAGACTCAGCTTAGTCTCTACAAATGGAATGTGGAAAGACAGCAGAGTGTTTTGCCTGGAGATATTTTTCGGAGGGAAAACACCAGGGAAGGTTTTGGACTCACGGCTAAAGACACTTAAGGCTATTAACTAAATACTAAATAGAATACAGAGAGTGGCAAGTGACTGTTCTCTTATGTCTTAGCTACTGTCCCCTCAGGATAGAGAGATTGTCACTAGATTAATAACTCCTGAATGCCCAAGGTAGGATGTTGGGTTCACAGCCCAGGAATCAATTAGAGACCTTGTTAAAAATTAATGATGTGCATACTGACGTGTTTAGAGGTGAAGTGTCCTAATGCCTGCAGTTTGCCTTGACATGCATTGAAAAAATGAGTTGGATTGATGGATAGATAAACGGAGGATAAACGCATAGATATGTGATAAAGCACATGTAAATCCTGTGATTGTCAGGATCTGGGTAGTAAGTATGTGGGTAGAACATTTCTGTACGTCTGAAATTTTTCAAATAAAATGTTGGGGAAATGTACCAATCCCTGGGGTACCCAATAAGGATTTTGATTCACTGAGTTGGTGATGAAGTCTAGAAGTTATTTCTTATTTTACTTTTTCTTTTTCCTTATTTATTTTTTGAGACAGTGTCTTCCTCTGTCACCCAGGCTGGAGTGCAGTGGTACGATCATGGCTCACTGCAGCCTCAACTTCTTGGGTTCTAGCAATCCTCCCACCTCAGCCTCCCCAGTAGCTGGGACCACAGGCATGTGCCACTACACCTGGCTAATTGAAAAAAAATTTTTTTAGAGAGCAGATTTCACCATGTTGCCCTGGCTGGTCTTGAACTCCTGGGCTCAAGTGATCTGCTGGCCTTGGCCTCCCAAAATGCCAGGATTACAGATGTGAGCCACTGTGCCTGGCCTGAAGTCTAGTAATTTTTAAAACTTTGCATGTGATTCTGCTCTTGAGCCAAGTTCAGCGCCTGTGGAACAGCTATATTCCTCAAACTAGGTATGCACACCAGTCCCTGGGGATTCACATTCAGCAGGTCTGGGGTAGCGGGTGGGGCTGACATTCTGCATGTCTCACAAG